TTGTTAACTTTAGGCTGAACTGAGAAAAAAAAATTAAAGGCATCGCAAATGAAAGCTATTAAATTTTTATTCCCTTTTCTCACAACCTATTTGTGTAAACGAAGATTTTCGTCTATGTTATATTTGAAAAAAAAAATACGGAACAAAATTAAAAGTGGATCCTAATTTACGGATAAAGCTAAATGAAATATGACCAAACATAGAGAAATTGATCTCTCTTAAACAGGCACAAATTTCATAATAAATTTTAGAATTAAAGTATTATAACTTTAATTTTGATAATTAAAATGGTAACCAATTTTCAGTCTAATATTTTTTATATGTATATATTTAACACAAATAGACAACAGGTTGTACAAGTGACAAAATATATTTTTTTAATATTTCTGTTGAGAAATTGAAAAATAATCATTGTAAAATGTAGTGGTGGTACTAAAGTATTTAAATTTTTGCTTAGATGGTTTGCGTTAGTCAAAAGGTTGAGAATCGCTGCTCTAATCTGCAAGCTACTTATGACCCTCCTTTATCTAAAAATTTATTTATGGAATCATTTGGCGCCACCTTTTGTTCTCCAGTCCTAAAAATTTCTGTTATCATCCACAATCTTGCCATTATATCCTAAATTCCACATATAACATTATTCATTCTTAAAGCAAAATTTTTGCAAGGATGCGTGTAAAAGGAATTCTTAAAACTTAAATAAATAAATAAAAATGACAAATGATGTGTTGCACGCATATTTTGAGAACTTACGAACTCAAGATTGTGAAAGGAAAAAATTCCATATATTTTATTACCTTTCCTCCGGTTGTTTCAACCTATTTTCCATTTGCTCCCTCTTAACGCCCACTACTGATTCACTATTTGTTGAAAGCAGTTATCGCTTGAAACATTAATAAAACATTATAAAAAACAAATGGATGCACTTATGGACAAATTAGCAAAGCAGATAAGTGCTGATTTCTTTACATTTTCAGAGTGAAAAAAAGTTCGAAATTTATTTCTCCAGAAACTTATTTAAAATGTTTAGGTAAAAAATGAATTTTTTTCAGATTCAGTCTAAAATTTTATGAACATATTATTCTATTATATATATATATATACATATACAACATTTAAACAACCAAAGTCTATCTTATATTAATTTAATGCCAGTAATTCTAAATTTTATGACACAGTATCTTAAATAATTAGTCGGTTTTTAAAGTCATCAGGTTTCTGTTCAAGCAGCAAATAGCAAATATCCTCAGAGCCTTCGCAGGAGTTCGAAATCCTGACCTCAGAACGGCCAGCCGTACGTGTCCACTTAAAGGGAGGCTGGGGAGGACGGAACCTAGTCGCCAGGTCCTGGTAGTGAAGAATTATCATCTATCACGTTTTTATTCCACAGCCGCCTGATGAGTTAACAGGTCTTTATCGCAGCAGCAACTATGAAAAATAAGCAATCGCCTGCAGGGTTTCGAACTACGAATCCCCTGAATCGCCAACCGACGTGCTTTCAACTACACAATAAAGACACGCGATAATGAGAGAGAAAAGTTCTTGCAAAATATTTTATTATCGTATTGTTGCGTGCGTACGGATTTGTAAGAGATTGAATGCAGAAGTCAGATGAAAAGTTAATAAAATTTATTCTTATCACAAGAAATAAAAACAAATTACTGAAATTTTTCTCACAGATACTCATACAATATCAAAATGTCACACACTAGTTATATTTTAAACTACTAAAACGTTATATAGAACTCAATCCAAAGCACTGAGAAAATTAATCCGATCTCACCGCGAATTCGCTACAATCAACAACAAAAGCTTAGTAAACAACTGAACTGAGATGATATTTCTCCAGATTTTATAAGCTTTTAGATCAGTCACGAGAAGTTCTCGTAATTTCTTAAGGTTTCTAGAAAGCAAAAGAGTAGAATTACAGTTATAGCTAACACACAAATCCATTATTTCAATCTAAATATAAATTACGAAATATCTATTTATTAAATGCACGTGCTCCTGTATTTTTACTTTTTCAGCGTAGCTTTCTCTTAAAACTCGTCACGCGCTGCATTACACAGGGAAATAATAGAATTTTAATCACATCTCTACTAGAAATAGCCAACTACATACAAAATCCGTAATACTCCTCCCTTTCCAAGGGCTGCACGTCCCGAGGATTACAATCCCTGAACAGGAAGCCAAACTTACAACTAGGGCATCAATGCAATAACAAACATTACACTACAATATCAAACAACATAAACAGCAATTTGAATAAGTAACTTAAAACAAATCAAATACTAAATACAAACCAAATACTATGAAATATAGAAACAAAAAGGACCATGGTCTTATACTATTTACATTATATACACTACGTACTATGGCCTTAGTAAGGAGCTAACCCGTCGCAATGGACGACTTTAGGCTTAGAGTTCGATGATTTACGGATCCGAACCGCGACTTCGTTCAGCTTGTTTAGGACTGTGTATGGACCATCCTAAGATGACTGTACTTTCGGGCAGAGTCGTTTCTGTTGAGTCGGATTCCATAACATTACCTTATCTCCTTCGTTGAATCAATGTCTAGTAGCTCTGGTGTCGTATCGAGTCTTCTTCTCCGTCGCCAAGTTGACTCGCTCTCGTTCAACATTGTGCATCTCTTCCAACCGGGTCTGGAGATCTTGGGTGCATTCCTCAGGCGATGAAGAACCTTGCATCTGGAGGGCGACCAAACAAGAGATCACAAGGCAGATGAAGGTCACGACCGAAGAGTATCTGAGATGGGAAACAGTCGGTAGTCTCGTGGACAGCACTGCACTAAGCCAGTAAAACTAGTGGTAATTTCTTTTTCCAGTTCCTGCTGGTTTCTGGAAGCCACTAATGTGAGATTATTAAGGATGCTTCAATTAAACCTCTCTACCATTCCGTGCTACTGGGGATGTAAAGGCATCGTTTGGGTTTTCTCAATGCCGAGTTTGCCAGGAGTTCTTTTATTACAGCCCAGATAAAATTCGTTCCCTGATCGAAATGTAACTGACGAGGCACTCCGAACCTGTAAATCCAGTGTTGTATCATCACCTCAGCTACTGTAACAGCTTCTTGATCAGGAATAGGATATGCTTCACGCCACTTGCTGAAGTAATCAATGACAACGAGGATGTATTTGTTGCCATATACAGTTCGTGGCAGAGGTCCCAAGATGCCAAAGACGATACGCTTGAAAGGTTTTCCTATATTGTAACGCTGCAGCTTGCTCGGCTGCGTTTCTCGGTCCTTTCACAAGCATCGCAAGATCGGCACTACTTTTTTACGTCATCGCTTGCATTATTTCAGTAGAAGCGTTCACGAACTCTCTGCAAGGTTTTCATTATTTCGAAGTTAACTCCTGTAAGGCTGTTATGTAGTTCTTTAAGGATGTTCGTGATCAGGAATCTTGGAAGTATCAGCTGACATCCTCTGATTCGAATTTCCGGCTTAAGAGGCCGTTTCAAATATGGAGTAGGTTCCAGAAAGTGATATTTCGTTTTGTTCTAGGACTGTAAATCGAAATGTCTTGTTGGGTGTCTGACCTCTTTGTCACTGCATGGGCCTTGATCAGCCGATGTTGATGTTACAATATGTCGTGCGACCGGACTCAGCAGCTCGTATTTCTCTTCGAACCTGGAACAATATCGGCAACTTTCTGGGCAAGGTCTTTTAGAGAGGTCGTCGGCGTTTCCGTGTGATGATAAATTCCGATGACAAATAGTGGTGTCATGCTCCTGGAGTCTCTGTTTCTAACTGGCTATTTGACCCTCAGGGTTCTTGAAATTTATAAGCTAGGCCAATGATTCATGATGCGTGCGGAGCAGTAATTTTCTGCCCTATAAGATAATGATGGAAATGTTGTATGGCTTTGACTATGGCGAGCAACTCTTTCCTGGTGACACAGTAAGTCTTCGCCAGTTTAGACAGGCAGTTGCTCCAGTAAGCAACTACACGTTCTTGGCCGTTTATTTCTTGGGAAAAAACAGCATCGACACTTTCATTGCTCGTGTCCGAGTCAAGAATAAATGTCTGTCGAGCTGGGGATACGTAAGGATTGGAGCAGATGTTAAAGCTTCCTTCAGGTTTTTAAATGCATCCTCACATTCTTTTGTAAACAAGAACTTTTGCTTGCTCTTTGTCAGCTTGTGAAGGGTCTTGCAATGGAAGAAAAGTCCTTAACGAATCTCTTATAGTAGGTGCAAAGCCCTAGGAAGCTTCTCAGCAGATGGACATTTTCTGCACGTTTCCAGTCTTTAACTATATAGTGATGATCTTTGATTCTTGTTGTTCTATGTAGACATTTTTTAGAGAATCTCGAAAGTACAGTTGAAAGAAATCAGTCCAGGGAGTGAGCGGTTTTTTGTGTTGATTCCAGCAATCTCACTTCTTTAATTTTCTCTGCTTTTCCTTCATCCTTGCACACCACTCTTGATCAATGTTTCTTCCGAACGCATTCATCAAGGTCATTGTCAGTCAGCGATGATCGTTAAAAAGAACTGATTCACTTCATTGAGCGAACGGAAAGGAGCGGTTTTTCCCGTCTCAAGACTGGGCTCCACTTTATTTACTGCAGGTAGGGAGAATTAACATTTGTTGAGTGAGAAAAAGAATAGTTGGACATGGCCTACAAAACTAAATAGTAGAAATCGAAGAAAGCCTTTTTTTTCGAAACTCAAAAAACGAAACGATTTGAAGATATCCGTAGCAGTGGCTATTTTGTGGATTGTGCAGAGAGATAGACTGACGAATTGCAGATAAAAATGCAGCTCAGAAACAAGTTTTTAAGCAGACGACAATTCAGAAACAAACAATTTCTCAGAATCAAGTAGCTCACCCTTGGTGAGATCTACTCCAACTTTCATGATTCGATTATAACCAAATTCACAATCGATGGAATAATACGTAAGTATGCAGTTGCTGAATATTGACGCTAATGATTGATAAAAATGAATCGAGGATAGAATTAGCAAACCTACTTACCCACAACGATAAGGTTGACTCTTTTAAGCTCCGTTGCAGACCATTGATAATCGACCCGACAAAAATAAGATCCAGTGTCTTCCTCTCTGAGGTAATCCATCTGCAGATAGGGTTGGTCACCGGTGACATGAAATTGTACACGGTCACTATATGTCTCGTTGCGCATGTGGAAAGCGTCCGCGAGGCGTCGGTCTCGAGCGTCCAGCGTGTACAAGGCCGTAACACCATCGTTCTTGTACCAGAAAATGAATTCGACGCTGTCGCCCTTCTTCTGGAGAATGTTGCAGGGCATCTTGGCGGTGCCGTCCACCAGGGCTTCGACTACGGTCTCCGGAAGGGCTGCAAATAAAAGAAAATATTCTTTCTTATAGCTAACGTTCTTTCGAACATATATGAATCGAAAAGTCACTTATGTAAATTATATTATTCCACATTTAAAGAACTTTGCACACAGAGTAGCTCTGCAATATTCGTATTTATTCTGAGGCTTTTCTAGTAGATATAGTTTTAGACTTTAATTATTTAGAATTTTAGAACATTTACAAACTGTGGGACTATCATTGTTAATTTGAATTGCTCAACCAAAGTAAAATTTAAAATTAGGCTAAAATTGCAAATATTTTTAGTGTACATTTTGAATAAAGCTCTATGGATTTCGAGAGACGCTAGACACAGTTTTCTCTTTTTTCGGTACAAGATATGTTTTGCTAAGGTCAGAAGAACAATAGCCATATTTACAGGAAAATCGATGGGCACAGTAAAAATAAAACGAAAGCAGTCCATGTTAGATCGGAATGCAATAATTAAAAGCTAAAACTTTAAAACTCTGAAATACTGGAAAATGTTTATTGGAATTAATACCCTTTACTGCTGAATATGAATTTTGTGTATGTGGAAGATTTCAAGGAAATTCAATTCAAGAAATAGAGAGGAATATAATAATTAGTAACAATAATTTTCAGGGAATAAAAACTAAAATTGTAGTTAAATTTTCATTATGCGGAAATACAGATCTTCAGTTTTAAACAGGATTTAGCATTTTTAAAAATGTATTCTAAGTTATTGATATTATTTCCTTTCTTGTTGTTTCCAGTGTTTTCTATTATCTTGACCTTTTACTAGTGCATTCTTTGACAAAAGGCTCTATGCTCGTTTTTGTTACGCCCATTGCTATATTTTGTGCCACCCATTGATTTTAATACAAAAATAAGTGTTAGAAATCTCATCTTTCTTAATATATTGTTGCGAAATTTACAGCTGCAGTAAGATAGCTTCCCCGCAAAGCGAGTTCAAGGTTGCCAGAAAAATACTACTGGAAGGAAAGGGAGGATTGCCATATTTAGCGCGAAATAGCCCATTTGGCGGCAAAATTTGCGATATGCCATAGACAGAGCGTGAATGACAACACGATACACAACACGTGAGAGACATTAAGATGACATAACAACACATGAAAGATATTAAGATTTAATATCACATTTCAGGATATACTAAATACTTTAAACTGAAAACATTTATAAGTTGAACCTTAGAAGTACGAGTTTCAAATATCTTTTTATTTTATTATTATTTTTAGCGATAATTTAACGATCCCCACAATAAATCCATATTTAGTACTGCGAGTATTCAAAAGTTCATTTTTAAAGAAAACTGTCAATTAGTTCACGAAAACAATATGTTTTTGCTTGGAATTATAATACATTAAGCTATTTGATATAACGCATTTAATACTGAGTTTTAAGGTATTTAATGAACATTTTTCAATAAATCATTACTTCAACAAAATGTTATCCTTGTTTATTATGCTGTTTGCAACAATGCTTTCATACACTGCTTACTGAAAGAAAAAGCAGTATTACCGATTAAGTAATCGACACAAGTAAAAAAAAAATCACTTAACTCTCCCCTTCTTCCCTATAAAACAGAAACGAACAGAGAAAAAACAGGAGCAAGCAGACACATTACACTAAGTACAAAATCCGGTTTTTATTTAAATGTTATAAAATTAAATCCTAAAATCTACAGTTCCCGTGGTTCATCGAATAAAACACACGACTAAGGAAGGAAAGTTTAATCAATCGTAGCTTCCACTTTTCGTTTGAAGTAGCGCTATTTGGAAAATAAATTTTGGGGCAAGATTTCTGTGTTCTTTCATTTTATCAGAAATCTAACGTAAAAGCATCATAATTAACATTTTAGTTATATATCATACGTAATCATAAGGTAAAAGATTAAAATTAAATAAATACATTAAACTGAAACACATTATTACAGTAAAGGAATAATAAAATGATTGTAGAAATTTTCTGTCAAATGAGCCATTCTTAGACATTTGATAGCAAAATTATGACGCAATATTAATTTTATTAACATTTGCATAAAATTATAATATATAAAATTATGATTAAAGTAATGATGGGAGTTACGCCACTCTGAAGTCTAACACTGGATGAGATCAACTGGTAATGTTTGGCATTTATTTGACGATGTTAAGAATATTGTTTGCAACATCATCACGTGAGCCAGTCTTAAGTTGCTTCCAACTGGTAGTCATGCAGTGATGAAAATGAAAATGCCAAGATATGTTCACCAGAAACTGTGTTGTAAGATGTAGCGATAAACGATGGCCTCGGGAGAGACGTATTAAATTATTGCGTGCTACCAAGGCAATATTGAATGCTGCAAAGATTTATGAAATAAATTATTTGTTCCTTCACCTATGGAGCTGTTAATCTTAACGGTGCCGAAAAGATTATTAGGCTTTGAATTTAGGACATGGCCCTCTATACAGATAAATATTTTGTCGCTGAATATTTTTCTAAGCAATTTTCTTGAACATAATGAATATATAACTTATGTTATTATAATGGTATCTTATAATTATTATTATATTAGTTATATATGACTTAATAAATAAATAACCTAGTAAAAATATTTGCTCATTTAAGTAACATTTAATAGTTTAAACTGAATTGTTTATATATATAAGTTCTTAATATTAATATAAATTCTTAATATTTAAAAAATTGTTACACTTCGAACAAAGTTATTGTTTAGTAAATAATAAAAATGCCCTTTATTTAATTCTTAAGACTGTAGAGACATTAGAATTTTTTTTGGAAGCAAGCAAGATGAAAAATGAGCAAATGCCTTCCCCGGGAATCGAACCACGGAACTCTGGAATACCGCCCCAGCGTGCAGAACCACTACGCCACGAAGGCACGCTAGGAAAGTGGGAGAAATACCTTATATACTCCCCTTTCTTAAAGGGCGACTGGGGGTTTTTTTTAGAGAACCCAATCGCCAAATCCTGGGTGTGGGGAGTTAGCATCCACAACCCTTTTAGTTCGGGCACCACTGTAGAGACATTAGGATTTTTTTTGGAAGCAAGCAAGATAAAAAATTAGCAAACGCCTTCGCCGGGAATCGAACCACTGACCTCTGGAATACCGGCCCGTCGTGCAGAAGTATTACACCACGCACGCACGCTAAGAATGTCGGAGAAATACCTTATAGGACTTAATATTATTTATAAAATATAAAACAAGATAATTTATTTAAAATATCAAATGCTATGTTTTTCATTTTACGATACGGAAATGTTCTCTTTTCTAATATATTTTTATTTAATTCAGCAATATTTTATGAACAGTACCATATTTGATCATTTAATTAATATTTACGCAGAAAGCGACTATTTTTTATGAGTTCATGTAATTTTGCCATTAATATTTAATACAGTTTATACTTTTTGTAAAACAGAAGCGAGTTCTGAATAATTTTATATTTGAATGAAAGAATAAAATAATAAAGTGGAGCTGTCAAGCAAACACCAACAGAATAGCGGAATATAAAGAATAGTGGAATAAACTACATCATAATTAACAAAAAAGAACTATTAGCTAGTATTAACTGGTTTATTTGGGATTCTAAGTTCTTTGATTATGTAAATTAAATCAGCATTCAGAACGTGAACGCAATGAAAAATACACATAAACAAGGCTTTAATGTCCAGGAAGTCTGCCGCCGAATAGGTAATTGCTTCTGAAAAATCCTGACAGGAAAGCCCTCAATCGAAACGGTGCTTCACGCTTACGCGTTGACCAGATCAACTACTGATCTTCCGTGGATGAGCGAGAATCGAGAACGCAAAGCGCATCTTGATCATTTTTTGTTTTTTGTTTTGTATAACTCTTGCATTTCGATAAATAAAAGATAACTGTACTTTTAACTTACTTTTACTATTTGGGAATTGATTTTTAATGGATGATTTAACAATATATTTGTGCTACAGTCCGTGTACAATTAAAATTACGCACCAGTTGTAGATAAAACAATTCCTAAATGTGATGTCATCTATCACCGTTATTACCCGACGCATTTTTTATTTATTTTTATACTGTAAAATTTGCTTTATTCTAATGGTTAAGGACAGTATTTTGTCCATCTTCCTGCAGTAAAGCAAATTAATATTTTCTGACAAGACCCGGTTAATTGAATCCGGATTAATCAACAGTTGACAGCATACTATTCAAAACTGCACCCTATTGCACTGTTGACTGCATACTATGATTTCACACTATTGACTGCATACTATATGCTTTTCAACACGGTAATCCAAAAAAGGCGAGCGGATAGGATCGCTGAACACTGGCAATTTGACCCGATTTCGAATTATGGAAACCAGGCATTTCGCAGTTCCTCCGGTGTTTTGTTTGAATACCAGTCACTTTCTTTTAACAATCCTCCACGAAGGCATTGCTTAAACAGAGACTTAGTGTGCTTTGCCATAATCTTATAAATCCGAATTTTTCATGTCGGGGTGAGCTAGTGGTGAATAAATGGAATGTCTGCAAAGTATATCCTTTACAAGTCATATTTACTCAGAAATACAAGTCTGCTCTATACCGTCAATAGTTTCTTACCTCTTTCCTTATTACAACTGGAATGTCATCAAATAAAAAAAGAGGTAGCTTTTAGAAATAATATAATATTACGTATAAGAGCAAAATATTATAAACTCTTTAATAATATTTCTTTTAAATTACCCCGAACTTACCGAGGCCATATGGCACATTTATTATTTAGTAACATAAACAATTGTCGTGGGAAATCGAAGAGTAATGTACCGCAGCTCTAAACTCAACGAAATGACTTATTCATAATTCAAAACGAATGTAGTATGCACTCGTTGAGTAAATACATTTTCCTCGAATGCATGGACAAACTATTCATCGACGATCCTCTTTCTGGGCCATTAAGTGCATCTAAGTCCCGGCCATTCCTGAATTTTGGCACTTATCCAAGATGGGGTCAGTTGTAAAATCTGCGACAAT